ATAGCAATATTTAGGGAAGCAAATTCAAACTCAAGGTTCAGTGTTTGTATTTAGACAGGTTTTCTCCCGGTTAATTCGACTTGTTAAAGGGAAATCGCAAAACCTGGCCTATTATCACGAAGAAAAAGCAAAAAATGAATTTGCGCGAAAGAAACTCGCTTGTACAGTCCCGTTTCTCTTAAGTCGAAGGCATATTTAATTTCGTTGTGTTTATTTTTATTGACGACTTCGAGCTTCATGCATGACAGGTCACGCCACTCAATTTTGAGCCAATCACGAGTCCCGTTATATGAAAAATACGTAACAGTAATTTATGCATTAGGTTCGACCCATGAGGAGAACGCCGTATGAATCAGCTGCCGCTCCAACGTCGCATAGTTCGACAGACCCTGCCGAATTTAATTTTGTTTGCTTCACCAAACCTAACCTGCCGAACCAAACTGATTCAAACGCCGCTCTTCTGCCGTACTTAACTCATCAGTTATGTTCGGCGCATGAATAGAGCGGCGTTTGGAACGGGCCTTACTCTGTTATTCTCAAATACAAATCCAAAATGATGCCTTTTTAAATATCTCCAGCGTAGGGTGGACGGAAAAGTAAACGTATGATGCCTTTTCAAAGTGAAATCTCCGTGTTCAAATTCCTCCGTCGTAACGTGGACGGGGCCTAAAACGCGGTGATAAAACGATACCCAACGTTTTTTCTCGATTTCCATGTCACGTGCTCATGCTCACTCTCGATTTGCTAGGGATAAATTGGCTCCTGTAAAATGTTTTTCCCAACATGCAAGATTTATGCCATTAACAACACTATTTTCACACTAATAGTGTTACAAATCACCACCAGATATTCGTATCCACCTTGATATTTAGATAATTTCTAGAAACTGTTGCACACTTACTCCTGTCTACTCCTTGTTTACGAATGGGATCGGACCAAATGTTGTTAAAAGATGCCGGATCATGTGTACTGAAGGCATTCGCGGTCGAGTGTTAATCGACACTCTTGATCGATACCCTTGATTGACGTCTCGATTGATACTCAACAGACATCCCGATCGATACCCGTCAACACTCTATCAACACTCGATCAACAGTCGGTCGATAGTCAGCCGAGTATCGACAGACTCATATGAATTGATCGAAAATTAGTCGACTCTCGACCGAATGTCAACCAAGACATTGATGAGTGTCAATCAAGTGTTAACCGAGGTGTTGATGGAGTGTCGATCGAATATCAATCAAGGGTCAATCAAGGGTTATAAATTATTTATTTATTGGGCATTGCTGAAGTGAATTATTTCTTTCATCATTCTCAATATCAATAATCCAGTTTCTGGATTCCAGATCCTGGATTTTGGACTCTGGGATTCTGGTTCCAGATTCCAGTTCCAGATTCCAGTTCCAGATTCCAGTTCCAGATTCCAGTTCCAGATTCCTGGTTTTAGGGTTGCCCTCCTCATAATTTTCTGATGAATTTCAGATCAATATTATTGATCAAATATGCAAGTTAAGCTTTCTGTCAACTGGCCACAAGTATATCACCTTGTGGTTTATAAATTTAAGTCTGTCCTTGCTCCAGT